CGGCGTGACCATTCCCCCTGGGGGGTGATTTCTCGCTTTCTGTCTCTATGTCTCTCTCTGTCTGTCTGGCGAGCACACGTGCCCTATAGCGAAAATCTCTCAAAAAAAAAAAAAACCCAGAGAATCAGCTCCTCATCACTGCAAGGGATATAGAATTTGGAACTTCAATCTAGACAGTTAACCAATCTGTAGAATAAAATTAATCTTTTGAGATATATAACAGTATTCACAAACTCTATGATGTATAACTTATAATATCCAGGGTAGAATTTAGAATTGATGTTCAGTGAAATAAAAACAAAATGTGACCCCTATTTCAGAAATAAAGTCATTCAAATAATACAGGGATTTCAAGGAGCAGTCATGAAAGTTAAACTACACAAAAATAAATGTATGGACTTAAAGGAGATATACAAATATTACAAATGAGGACTGTTGGCAGTAAAATAAATTTTATAAAAAGGGCACTCAGAAACTTTCCAGAAGGTGTGTTGAGAATTAGAGGAGTAATGGCTGCCTGAGCTATCAAAAGCTAAGTGTTCCTGGGACCAGGAGTTGGCGTAATGGCTATGTTGCTGGACTCCCATGTCGTCAACCACAGTTCTAGTCCCAGACCCATTGGCTTAAACTCACACTGGGCGCGTGTGCATGCGTGCCCAAGATCCCAAGAGGAGAATGGAGGAGAAGGGACTACGGTGTGGCTATCTCCCCTGGGGGTGATTCTTGCTTTCTATCTCTCTGTCTCTGTCTTTCTGGTGAGCACACGTGCCCTATAGCAAAAACCTCTCAACAAGAAAAAAAGCTAAGTGCTCTTATGCTACCTTCAGTCCACTCGCTGGCAGTAGGAAGGGGTAAAAGAAATCACTTCCTATGATGTATTAGGGGTCAAACATAATGCCACCCAGGAAGAATAGAAAAGGCTTATTGGAAGCTTGTTATGGGGGATGCTTTCTCCTTTCCTCCTCTCTGTCTCTAGTGAGTGAGCATTCCCATAAGGAGAAAAAAAATGACATAAAACAAAGACATCTGGGAATTTAAAAGAAATTAAGATAACTCATCACCAGGAAATCATATTAAAGAAAGCAATTTCTCTAGTCCTAAAAAAAATAAAACCAGAGACTAATATGAATGTACAAAAAGATTCAAGGAACGCCAAAGTAGCAATATGTCTATGAAAGCATACTATAGGGCCATATCTCATGACTAAAACCAATCCAACAACATTTTAAAAGTATTATACATTACAACCAGGTAGGATTTATTCCTGGAATACAAGGGTAATTCAATATGTATAAAAGAACAAATGTAATAGATCACATTAAGAGAAGAAATGACAAAAATCATATAAGCATATTAGTTGATGCATAAAAAGCATTTGATAAAATATAATAGTCATTTATGGCTAAGAGTCAATAAAATAGGCATAGAAAATACATTTCATAACCAAATAAAGGCCATATGTGACATTCCTGCAGCTAACATAATATTGAATGGGAAGAAGTGGAAAAGTTCATAATATTAAATGGAAAAAAGTGGAAACATTTTCAACTTCAAACTAGAACAAGACAGAAATGTGCACTTTCTTCTTTCCCATTCAACATAGATACTGGAAGTACTAACCAATACAGTCAGATGAAAGAACAAAATAAAACACATATAAATTGAAGAAAAAATTAACTTGTCCCTACTTGTGGCTGACTTGATTATATAATGGTTCATCAGAAAAGCCATGATGCATTTTTCTATGTTTGTTTGTTTTTTTTTTATTACAACCCAATATATAGGAAACCCTAAAGAATCCACCAAATAACTCTTAGATGAAATAAACAAATGCAGAAAAGTTGCAGGATACAAATGCAGCATTTAAAAATCTGCAGTAGGCTATACCCATAGCACAGGGCTTAAATATTATGTACCGGGAGCCAGATCCCACATAATCACCTGTGGTTTGAGTCCAAGGCCCTGTGGGCTTGGGAAACACATTGAGTGTGTGTATGTGTGCATGTGTCCAAAATCCTGATGGGAAGGCGAATTGGAGGAAAGGGGTTGTGGCATCCTCTGAGCACCCTGGCTATGTCAGTTTAGTATTGAGGATAGTTCCCAGGTAGGTTTATAGCCCAAAATGGCATTTTATGCTTCATTTTTAGGGTGTTTTCTCTCCCTTCTTGAATCTCCATCACTCTATCACTCTCTCTAGCAAGTACATAATTCCATGGGTAATTAAAAATATCTGTAGCATTTTTCTACAACATGAATAAATGAGAAAAAAATGAAGGCAATCCCATTCACAGTAACCACAAAAACTACTTGGAAGAAATCTCACCAAGAAAGTGAAAGACCTCTATGAAAAAAATTATAAAAGCTGAACAAGTTACTTGAAAAATATGCCAAAACCAGGAAGGCAGTCCTTTCCATAAATGTGAAGAATCAATATAGGTGCTATACCTATACTACACCACAGTGATCTACAAATTCATTCCAATTCTTACCAAAAACCCAGCAATATTCAACACAGAAATAATTATAAAATTTATGCAGAATCACAAAAGACCCATACAATCAGACCAATTGTGTACAAAAGGAATAGAGTTAGAGGCATCTTACTTCCTGACTCCTAAATTTATTGTAAATCCTTAATCACTAAAACAGCATGGTACTGGCACAAACACAGACATATGACAGTTCAATTGAATAAAATAAACAAGAAAAAACTTAACATACAGCCAACCGATTTTTGACAAAGGCCACAGATCAAGCCTGTGGAAAAAAAAAGTTTTCTATTGTTCTGGGAGAACTCAATATCCACCAACATTCAAGTAAAACTAGTTCATCTCTTACCACTTACTTTTAACTCACAGTGGATTAAAGAATTTAATATGATGGACAACTATATAAACCTATTAAGGAAAATATACAAGAACAACATGTTGGAGTGGGCAAAGACTACTTAAGTAAGACCCATGAGGCATGGAGAAAATCACCAAAAATACAGAAACTTGATTACATAATATAAAATATTTCTGAACAGCAAAGAAAAGAAAAAGCAGAATAGACAATGACACTGTAATATAAAAACCATAATCCAGCAGTAGTGGCTAAATTATGGATTCCCACATCACTGACCATTGTTCAAGTCCTGGACCAGGTGGCTCAAAAATGACAACAAATAAATAGATAAATAAAAATGAATATTTAAATAATACTTTATTTCACAAAGGTGTACAATGATTACTTGTAAACCAGAAAGGATTCCAAAATGAAAGTATGTGTATAATTATTATTTATCTTTATAAGTATACATATTTACTGATTATAATTGTATGCATGTTCTTACATGCAACTGGCAGCACAGTAGGTTTATTTACACCAGCATTACCACAAACGTCTGAGTAATGTATTACTTTATAAGGTTATGACAACTACAACCACGCTAGATTACAGAGATTTTGGGGCTTCATTATAAACTCCTAAGACCACGTTAATACATACGGTACATCACTGAAATGCTGCTATGCAGTGCATTATTATATTGGTCAGGAAATACAACTTTGGGCAGTCTGTGGCATAAGCAGCACATACACTCTAGGTGAGAGAAATATATGGAGAGTTCTTTAGGAACCTGTAGTAAATTCCTGCCACACATTCCAGGTTTATATGCTTCAAGTGGGTATTTCTAAGAGCTGTCTGTGGCCATGTTATATTAGCAACTCTAGAAAAAGCTACTGACTGGTTTGTGTTTTAACAATCAGTAACAGTAATCACTGTAGAACACTGGGTGTGCATTTCCAGGTTAGTTGTAAAACACTGTCTACCATGTCATCTATGTGACCAATAATGACTATCTCATGATTCATATCCCTTGAGAATTTAGCATGCTCTCCCCTTAGAGTCAATTCAAACGATGTAATAAATGTGTTTTTCCCACGGTATAAGAAAAGCTAGAGACCAATTTGTACTCATCTCACAGGGCTCTAAAGACCTTATAACCTGCCTATTTCACCCTGTCAATTTTATCTTGCCTTTTTATGCATTTCTCATGCTGAATTTTATTTCATTTTACTCTTCCATTTTAATGTACAAACCCTTATAAAATTCCTAAATTCAATGTAAAACACTTAGGGAAATCAGTAAACAACTTACCAAAAATGAATTCATTTTCTTAATCCTGGACAAATACAGAGGTTTCTAAAATTACAGCTGAAAGAGAAAGTGAATGAAGTAGGTCAGAGAAATGATGTTGCTTATTCCAAGATTCCCCTGTGGGAAAACAGTCACTTACACATGAGAATGGGCTAAGAAGACATTATTGAATGAGCAATCACAAATTTATTCACTGACAGAAATGAAAGACTTAGTAAAATGTTAAAATAACTTAGTAAAAATGTTACTAAGGGGGCCAGCAGATGATGAAATGGTTAGTTTGCTGAACTCTTGTGTTGTCGACCGAGGTTCAAGTCTCAAACCCAGTGGCTTAAACTCACAATGGGAACCTGTTTGTGCATAACCAAAATCAAAAAAGGAGAATGAAGAAAGAATCAAGGCATGGCAATTTGTCCTAGGGACTAATTTCACATTTTCTGTCTCTCTGTCTCTCTCTTCCCAGTGAGCACACGTACTTTACAATAAAAATTCTAAGGAAAATCAAAACAAACAGGAACACTGGAGACCAGCAGATGACATAATGTCTACTTTACTGGACTCCCATGTAATCAACCATGGTTCAAGTCCCTGATTTGGTGTCATAAAACTTATGCCAAGCACATATGTGTGCATGGCCACAGGTATGCTTTGGACCCTCCTATCCACAAACCCTTTGCCAAAAGCCCCCATGGTACAGGAGCCACTGGCAGCATAACAGTACACAAGAGTGAGCAAAAGTATCACATGTCTCAGACTTCTTGCTGCTGCCTTTTGCTGGTGCATGTGTGCTTTGGGATTTTCCTCCCACCACCCCCAGCACTGGAGCCCTTCCACCATAAGCTAACCCCTGAACAGGAACCAGCAGTAAGGAGAGAGAGAGTAAACAGGAGCACATCTTGCTGCTGACTTTGATGGCACAGGTATGCTCTGAACTTCCCCCATCCCCCTACACTCCTCCACAGTATGCCCCATACTGCAGGAGGCAGCAGAAGTGAAAGTGAGCTCAGAAGTGCATATTCCATAGTTCTTTCTATTGACCTTTGGCTGCAGAGGTGCTCTTTGGACCCCCATGCCCCTGCTCCCCTTTGCCTTTAGTTCCCATAGTGCAGAAGCCAGTGTTAGAGAGAGAGAAAGCAGGACTGAGTATCTCAGACTTCTTGCTGCTGCCTGTGGCACAGACTCATGTGCTTTGAACCCTCCCTGCTGGATTCCTCCTCCATAAGCCCCCATCCTGCAGGAACCATCAGTAGCAAGATAGTGAGCTCAGAAGGAATGCTCATCCCAGTTTCTTGCAGTTGCTTTTGCCTTAACAGGTGTTCTCTGGACTCCTATTCCCTGCTCCCCTCTGCCTTAAGCCCCCACAGTTCAGGAACCAGCTGGAGAGAGAAAGAAGTACAAAGCATCTCAGATTTCTTGCTATTGCCTTTTACAAATGCAGATATGCTTTGGAACCTCCCCCACCACCCTGTCTTTACCATGAGCCTCATGTTGCAGGAGCCTGAGGCAACAAGAGAATGAGCACAGTAATACCATGCATATTAAACTTCTTGCTCCTGCCTTTTTCCCACACAGGTGCACTTTGGACCCTGCCCCACCTTGAGACTTTCCACCATAAACACTCAGTGCAGAAGCCAGTAGCCGGGAGAGCTAGAGTGAATGCAAAAAGACCCCATATCTCACACTTCTTGCTGCCTTTTGCTTAGGCAGGTGTGGTATGAACCCTGTCCCTCTGCCCTTCACCACCTTAAGCCCCCAGGATGCAGGACTCAGCAGCAGCTAGAGTGACTAAGAATGAGCCTAGAAGGACCAGGCATCTCAGACTTCTTGTTGTTGTCTTTTGCCCATGTGCATGTTCTCTGAACTCTCCCCACACAGCGCTTCTTCACCATAAGGTGCCACTCCTTCACCTTAAGGTGCCACGAAGCAAAAACCAGGAGTAGAAAGACAGAGACAGAGTGAGCAGAGAACTGGGCATCTCAGACTTCTTCCTGCTTTGACTGTGGAAGTGTGCTTTAGATCCCTCCCACCCCGACACAGCCCTATGCCATAAGCTCCCATGGTGCAGGAGACAGTGGCAGTAAGAGATGGAGTGTGACATAAGAACGGAGCATCTCAGACTCCTTCGTGCTCCCTTTTTCCCTCACAAGTGTACGCTGGACATTCCCTGCACCCTTCCACCTGAAACCTCCACAGTCCAGGAGCCAGCAGCACTGAGAGACAGAGAGAAACCCCGTCTCAGACATCATACTGCTGCCTTCTGCCAGAATCAGTGTGCTTTGAAATGTCTGCTCCCCACTCCCAGCATTCCTCTGTAATAAACCCCCAGGTTGCAGTGGCCAGTGGCAGACAGGGATCACACCTGTGCATTCCCAGAACAACACATCTTACATTTCATACTGCTACCTTTTGCCCATGTAGGTGTGCTTTCGAGTGTCCCCACACCTCACCCCTCTGCATAAGCCCCATGGTGTAAAAGCCCATGGTAGTGAGACAGAATAGAGTGATCTCAGAGTCCTTGCTGTTGCTTTTTGTCCACACAGGTGTGCTTTGGACCCTCACACCACACATGTGCTCATCCTCTACAAGACTCCATGCTGGTCTGAGCCAGGGGCAACAGAGAGTGAGCACAGAAGGGTGGAGCTTCTTTCTTCTACCTTTTGCCCATGCCAGAGTGCTTTAGACTATCCACATACCATGCCCCTCTGCCTTAAGCTCCTAAAGTGCACGAGTCAGCATTGGCAAGAGAGAGAGACAGAGAGAGTGAGCGCAGGAGGATAATTATCTCAGACCTCTTGCTGCCCTTTCGCAAGTCTAGATGTGCTTTAAAATGCCCCCACCACTCTGCCCTACACCATAAGCCCCCATGGTAAAGGAGCCAGTGGCAGTGAGACAGTGAGAGTGAGCACTGACTTTCAGAATTTTTGTTGCTGCCTTTTGCCTGTAGAGATTCACTTTGGAACCTTCCTCTCCAACACCTCTGCCCTAGCCACCATGTAGGTGTGCTCTTAGTGATAGCAAGAGAAAGTGAATGCAGAAGTACTTTGCATCTCAGACTTCTTGCTGTTGTCTTTTGCCTGCACGGTTATGATTTATAACACCCTCCTGTCCACACTTCTTTAAGTCCCCACCTTGCAGGAGTCAGGAACAGCAAGTCAGATAGAGAGCATGAGTGCAGAAGGACCTCAAGTCTCAGTGTTCTTGATGCTGCCTTCTGCCTGCATAAGTGTGCTTTTGACCTTTGCCATTGCCCAGTCCCCTCTGCCATAGCTGACACATTGTTAGAGTCAGGGGTAGTAAGAAAGAGTGAACACTGAAAAACAGTGCATCTCAGAGTTCTTGCCTTTGCCTTTTGCCTGAGCAGGAGTGCTTTGGACACTCTACCCAATGCACTTCTACAGTAAGCACTCATGGTGCAGGAGCTAGGAACTAGTAGCAGAGAGAGAGAGAGAGAGAGTGAGCGAGCAAGAGAAAGACTAAGTGAGCCTATTACCTACACATCTCAGACTTCTTGCTGCTGCCTTTGCCTGCACAGCTGTGGTTTTGACCCTTCCCCCACCTCACCCTGCAGGTTAAACTTCCATGGTTCAGGAGCCAGTGGCAATAAAAGACTGAGATTCAGCATAGATGGATCTCACATCTCAGACTTCTTGCTTCTGCCTTTAGCTCAAGCTGGTGTGCTTTCGACCCTCTGGCGTACTCCCCCTCTACCTTAACCTTCCATGGTTCAGGACTATGTGGCAGCAACAGAGAGACAGGGAGTGCAGAAGGACCAGGCCTCAGACTTCTTGCTTCTGCTTTTTGCATGTCTTAGTTTGTTTTTAGATTTTACTTAGCTGACTTGTACTTCCTTCTTTATTTGAATCAACCCCAAGTGCAACTAATTCTGAGAGATTGGGATAGAAACCAACATCTAAAGCTGGCTACATTTACCCTTTTTGGATTGATAGAAAAGGCCATCTCCCTAAAACTCACCTGAGAAGTAGAGCTAATCTTCCCCACTAACACTACAGGATCAATATGAAGAAAAAATATCCCTCCCTCAAGGAAACAGAAAAATTCCTCAATAAAAGAGCACAAAAGAAATCACAGAAATATCAGAAAAAGAATACAGAATGTTCAAAGTGACAAAACTGAATGAGATGAAAGAGAAAACAGTCAACTAACTCCAGATGAGGAAATCATTCCAAGACCTGAAAAAGAATTCCATAAAGAGATAAACACCATAAAAAAAGAATTAAACAGAACTCCACGAGATAAAGACTGTAACACAGAAAGTTAAAAAATACCTCCCTTGAAAGTATTAATAGCAGATTAGACCATGCAGAAGACAGAATCTCTGATCTGGAAGACAAAGCCATTGACTTAAACAAAACAACCAAAAAGAATGAAAAAAAATAACTGTTGGGGACAAAAACCAGCCCATGCCTGAGAATTAAGCCAGAAGGAGAGAATGCAGAAGGGAGTTGAAAGCAACGCCATTCCTAGACAGAAAGCCAAAGGCACTCCATGACCAACCAGATAGCTCCTGTCATGGGCTGAGTCTCAAGATTGTTTGGTGACATTCCACAGCCCAAATCCTGTCTAACTACTAAGTTAATGATAGCTATCAATCTTGTACCAGGAATACAGCCTACAAAGAAACTCATGTATATTTTTTTTGAGAGATTTTTGCTATATGGCACATGTGCTTGCCAGAAAGACAGAGAGAGACAGAGAGATAGAAAGCAAGAAATCATCCCCTGGGGGGATGGCCATGCCACAATCCCTTCTCCTCCACTCTCCACTCAGGATCTTGGGCATGCACGCACACGCACCCAGCATGAGTTTTAAGCCACCGGATCCAGGACATGAACCGCAGTCAACTACATGGGAGTCCAGCGACATAGCCATTACAGTAATTGCTGGCCCTTCATGTATATTGTGTAAGGTTCTCTATAGCTAAACTCACTACTTATTTTATTTAATTTAGAATAAATGGGTTCTGCTTTGGCACAGTTTTGCTTCTGCTCCAAGAGAGCTTTAGTCCCCTTT